ATTGTTATTTAGTATTGGCTGATAAAAAAGTTCAGATATTGAATCAGTATCGGGAAACAAAAAAAGATATCGGAACATCTTTAATCACAACTTTTTTCAGTAACCATCCACACACACATTGCACCAAGAAAGTTACAGTAGTGATATCGTCCGTCTGAAGAAAATTTAGATTTCTCCTGCTCTGTAATTACAATTTTAACCAAATAAAAACATAAGTCAAAATAAAGACCAAGCAGGAGATGTGTACTATGGATTTTAATTTCAGTTTGTCTTCATCTAATCTAATCAGTGTAATCTGGGTCTGTCCACCTGACCCTCATTGCCGTGTTATTTTCTTTAGCATGTCCTGCCATTCTGCCATATCACTCAAAAGATTTCTATCCTGAGGTCCCATCTCACTTTGACATCTTTTTTTCGGGCTGTTTTCTTGCGGTACGGCATACGAGCTGAGTGCAGACTGATTACCATCGCAGGTTCAGGTAGCATCCCCATCCTGCTCAAATATGTGGGTGGCAATGATAAGAGCGTTCAACAGGTCTTGGTCCGCCTCCTCTCCGTCATTGAGCTCCTTTGCCCCAGCTCCCCTTCCCTCTGTACACTCTCAGTGATCCAGAAAGAACCAAGATCCAGACAGACAAGACACACGCACATACACACACATCAGATAACATAGTATGATTGCTCCCAGGCAGTGCGCCTTTCTCCTCTTGCAGCCATGACTTTGTAGTTCTTAGCCCCCAGCACTCTTTGTTTTCTACTTGCAGTTTGTCTGCACCCAGTTCAGTATGTGAAGTTTGTGTTTTTCTTATAATCTTGGATATTGACCTATCTTAACTCATACTTATTCTTATTTGTAACATGCAAACCAGTTCTGTTGTTATTCAGACACTGCATATGTTTATGTTTCATGACATGGAGTAGATTGTGATTTTTTTCTTGCTCAAGTTGATTATTATTTCCGGGGTGGGAGAGTGTGTTCCCAGATTAGTCTTACTTTTTGGCTAATTAAAGGATGTTTTGGGTTTTCTCTGAATCACCAGGGATCATCAGGCAGTTAATTAGCTCTGTCAATAAAGGAAACTCCCTTTTCCTGCAAGGACACTGAGCCGCGCTGATCCTGAGCTCTGACTGCAGGGTTACTGCTGGTTACATTGCTGGGCACCATATTTGTCTATGAAAGTATCACATTCCAGTGTTGATGCACACACTTGAAACTCAGTTGGCTTGAAATGTCATGAAATTGCGACTACACAATTACAGTGTCACAGGCATCAACTGGATCTGAAGCTAACCATGTGGCTTTGTTACACGATAAATGCTTGTGCGTGATTTATCTTTTCAGTTTGCTCCATGTTTGTTGTTGGAGGTGATTTACAGCTTAAAGTTGATGCTGTATTGTTTTGGGTTTTTTTTAACATTTCCATTGTTTACAAATGCTACCACCACTAATGGTATGCTCTGTGACAGGCCTTGCTTATCCTGCCCCAGCTGTCGTCCCTTGTGTGGAGTTTAATTTCAGTAATGTGATAGGTCTAGACAAGCCTCCATCCCTGGTTGCTGGCAAATGTGCCCCTTAACTGTAATGTACACTGGACCTCCAAATCCCTGTGCCAGCCTCCTGATAATCAATCAGGAGCGGCCTCCTGTCCCCAGCAGACCTCTCTCTCTAGGTACTTTGATGCCTGGTGTTTCTGCACCTCTTCTCTTCACACCCCCGGCTGTGTGACAAGGTCACTTGTTATGAGCACCGATCTTACCAAGCCTCATGACAGCAGCTCCGTGGGCAGAGATGCGCATCAGCTGCTGCTTGCTTACAGTCTGTAACCCAGAACTGATTTTGACTGGTGTTATCACAGTGAACCTTGAAAGTGACATTTACCACAGTTTTCCCTTTTTTCACCCTCAGTGCCTCTTGGCACTTCCTCTCCCTCCTCTTCCTCTCTGTTTATGCGTGTGTTTGCAGGTGACTCACGTCTTCTGGAAACGTTTCTGTCTGGGTTTAAAATTCCTCATCTTTTACAACTCTCTCCCTCACTCTCATTCTCCTTCTGCCTCCCTCTCCCATCTCTCAAAGCCAAGGCCTCAAAGCCAAGCCAGGTATGATTATATCTTGGTTGTTGTTATTCTCAGAGGAGCGATGCACACGCTTTTTCCAGAGTCTGGACTAAGGAAGGGGGGGGGGGGGGACTCAGTGAGTCTTTGAGTCTCTGATGTGTTTGTTTGGATCACCATCCAGTTTGCCTCATAGATAAGTGTTCAGTAATTTCTTCCATTTCTGTGTCTCTGAGGGAATTTTTAATGATTTTTGCAGCACTTTCATGGACCACATCTCTAAACACTCTCTTTTGTCTTGCTCCCCTCCAGGGCTTACATCTGTGGAGGTCTGATAATTAGGCTTTGATGCTTCATGTTCACTCAATGCTGTGCAATGTCTATGCTGTCAGTGTCTCTTGTTAAATGGTTTCATGCGGCATCGCAGTGACAAGTCTTTGAACGCAGAGTATCTGTCAGAATACACAGAATATAAAAATCACACTTTCATGGGTGGAATACAACATCTCTGGTGAGGGACTTGGCTCGGTGAAGTACAGACAATGTGTGTATCTCGCCTAATGAGAGTTAACGATATCAAGAGAATATCAAACAGTAATTTTTCTGTATTATTGTAATTGCAATCATAATTGTGATTATTGTCTGAAAAATAAATACCAGGTATGTATTTGTGTCAAACAGTACTTCTCTGTTTAGGTCTATTTAGTAGGAGCTTTTCATTGTATCACCATTTGACCTTCATCCGCTGATTAAGTTTGCCCAATTAGAAACATGAAGACTTCCAAAAAAAGGGGGAAGAAAATCTATACCAACTGAGTGTTACAAATCAGGGTAATCAAATAAAGCTGTGATGAGATCCAAGAGTCTACATAATCAAGAAACGTGAAACAAAGAAATCGTATTGGTATAAATGCCAGTCGGGTGACTGCTGTATTTTATCCCAAAGAAGGTCATTCGCCAAAATGTTGCTGTGGCATTAGTTGAAATAAATGTACACGGCGTTTCGGGTATGTGCCTTTTTCATCCATGTTGGCATAAAAGATGGGTTTGTTTTGAGTGTAACCAAATTCTTATCTTGTTTTCACATGAAAGAAATCTGATAAAAGCTTGCAGCTGCTTGTCGTTTATGTCCTTTGAGGACTCCTGAACTTTTATTAAACACAGTCAGTTTGACTGTAAATTTGACAAATTAAGCACATCACTGTAGTGGTAGACTTGACTTGGTTTATAATTTTGAGTGGCCACCTAATACTGACAAAATAATTATGACAAACTGCTGGTAAGTCACGTCTGACAATGTCACTAAAAGTTTGGATATTTGACTGAACTATTCTAACAGAAAAAAAATCACTAGGTGCACCTAACTCCATTTGCCATATGCTGGTGTCAGTAGCCAGCAAATTCAAACAGTTTGACCTCTTAATTGTTTGCTATGATACTATTCATGATTTGTGATAGAACTAATTTGAAAATAGCACTGTTTCAAATTTCAGCCCCACTCACAGCACATGAAAATATCAGTGCAGCAGGGAGACATATGGAAAATAATGATGGGATGAAAGAAGAGTGTTTTTCACTCTGTATTCAGTATTTAATCTGGTTCAGGACCCATAACAGACTGTTATATAAGTGGTTTATTTTTTTCCTTTAAACAAATCAGTCTAAAAGAGAACAGAACTGTTTGTAAATATGATTTGTAGTGACCAAAATAAAGAGCATATGATTGTAGCAGAAAAGCACTGTACCACAAAATAGTTTTTTTTTATTGTATACACACCATAACCACATCCAACAAGTTACTGGTATGAATGTTCTCTACAGTTTTTCATGGTTCTAACTCATTCAAACACTCCTAATATTAAACTCTCAACTATTTTTTTACAATCTCCATCAATGTAATTATAGATTATTTGTTCCATTATTAGCTGCTATGAGGCTCAAAGGCCGCATTCATTGTTAAAAGCAACAGCCAATGTTTTTTGCGAGGCATGACCGATTAAGTTACTGTGGGGATTGTTTTATCATATAATGTGAATCCTTGTGGGTTGAATTAGTGATTTACAGGCTTTTACTGCTGACACACAGAATTGGACTAATGTGATTAGTCTGGGAATACAGAGGGAAAGAAGTTTAAAGAGGAGTGTCAGTTCTTAATGGTGCTTGTGAGAACAACTGAGGGTTTTTAACAACAACAAGTAAGTACTGCTGATGATGATGTTTACCAACTATAAAGAAATATTTTAAGAATTAAAGGAAGATGATGGAAAGCCAGATCCCTGCCTGAGACGTGTTAAGGTTGAGTGAATGCTCAGACCCTGAACCACCTGACTAGATTTGGTCCAAGTGATCCAGACAAGTGTGATGCTGAAAACAAAAAAAAAACAACAGTTCAGGTCCCAAAACATCAAGTTTGTTTTCCCCGCGCCTCACCAACAGACTGTGAAAATCTGTTTTAATGGCAGTCTGAGCACCAAAGGCATAGTTGCATGCTGTAGAGATGGTAACAGAGACCCACCACTCGCAATTTTTTTTTTTTTCCTCTGTTAACAAAGACTCCACTGTGTGAAAGTTCAGATCCCGCTGAGGCTACATATCAGAGCTAAGCAAGTGCCTTTTAGGGAGAACACAGCATGCCGTCTTTGTGAGTTTATCAGCAAAGTGAGTACATAAACAACCACAAAGCCTGATAAAAAAAGAACAATCTACAACGTGATAGTGCTGCAATTACACCAGGATGGCAACTGTGTAACGCTTGATATTTTTGATTATATTTAAGTAAACATGAGAAAATCAAAGCTTTAACATATGTACCATGTGTGAATGGGATCATGTGATGTACTGTGACTGATCTTGCAGTGATTTTTCTATGTTTATGTCCTTATCTCTCAGTATACTCATAATGCTATACCAATGTGCTGTTCCTTTATGTGTCTTTTGTGCCTTACCAGGTTGAGTTGCATCTGAAGCCCATCCAGTCTCTGCTGCGCCACCAGAAGCCCCTGGTCTTTGTGCTTAACTCCCCCCAACCACTGATCTGGGAGATCAAGACAGAGAACCTGGCCCTGGGCATCAAACGTACCTTTCATGTGAGTCCAGCATCACTAAAAGCCTTTAAGTCCTACTTCCCTAAAACTGTGTATTCATTTCCTCACAGGCTAAGCTGTATTCCCATTTCAGTAGCCATCTACTCTCAGTAAAATACTTCAAGTGATGTAAATCTGTGAAGGAGTCCTTTCCACACTCCAAAACAAGTTTCCCATGATAAAAGTTGGATCCGCACAGTCATTGTGGCTAGGTATTGGTCTCTTTATGTTCATATATAATGTTTCATCTGCTAAACTGTGAACTCTTCTCAGAAATGGATTAGATGTAGACTTTAGGGCAGTACGAGTTTGATTCATATGAATATTCTTTCATTCATATCAAAGAATTTGATACCTGTATCGCTCCCTCACATCATGGTGTAGAGTGTGTTTATCTGAAAAGGTGAAATGTGCTTTGTCAGCTTTATTCTCACTCTGCAACCACAGGCCCATATCCCCACCGCCTCCCGCCCTCCTCTAAACAGTCCTGTTGATAGCTTGGCAGCTGTTCAAATCATTCAGAGCGTATCCGCGTACCACGAAAACCCTAACAACGGGGAGTGTGTGGTAACAAACACTAAACCACTAAAACTCTGCTGAGGAGGGAGTTGATCTATCCTATCGCCCGCTGATAATATGCTGAAATCCTCAAAACTGTAGATTGTCAACTGGTTTGTAAATAATTTGGATCTTGCAGAGGAAGAAGTTGACCCAAATTTCAGCAGGACACTCATTCAAAAAAGAAGTGTTCATCACTGTGGCTGGCTCCATCACTGAGCCTACGTAAGTTTTTGCTGAATAGTGGCCGCTGTGGCCACCAGTGGTTATTACAGGACAACAGCTCATGGAATTTGCCTTCATTTCCCAAGATTCTTTTGAGGTGGTTGCTTTAAAGACCTTTTCATGTTATTTGTGTGATATGCTGAAATGTAGTGTAAGGGGATCAGAGTTAAAGAATAGTCAGCAACCTGACTGTTTAAGGTTAGTTACACAGCATCTATTTAAAGGAGCTATTTGTAAGTTCTACTAGTGCTGCAAAGCCAACATTAGCATTCACGGTTTTTTACTTACCAGTCTTGAAGAAACGTTGCAAGTTCAACATCAAACTTCATTCCTTTACTCGCCAACAGCTGTCTCCAGCGGTTGAAAGCAGCTCCAGTGTTCACTTGTGTCTCTATCACATCTTTTCTTCTACTGAATTTAGCATGCTAACCGGCTAGCCCCAGCCTGTCTTGCCACTTTTTGATAGTGACTCACTGGAGCCTCCAATCTGCCCTGATGAAGTAGTGCTGCTCAGAGGGCGTATTATAACCTCCTGTCTTGTAAACGCAATGATGCCCGAAGCTCTTCTCAAGCGACAATCGCCACTACTGGCTCCCAGCAAGAAACCACGTTCAGTGGTAGAAAAAACTTACAAATAGCCCTTTTGATGTCTGCCAAGATTAGCAAACATTACTACCAACATTATTATTGTAAAGGACAAAATTTCTGAATGTTTTCAATTGATGAATGGTGTGTTTTATTGTCCATGACTTTTCATTTTTTTTCAAAAAGTTACTTCCACACTTGCTTTTAACTCATCATATCCAAATAGCTTAATGGAGGGTTGTATTAGTACCAGCTTGCATGAGGGGGAGGAAGAGAAGAAGTTTTGGTGAGGGGTATCTCAGTGTAGTTGGAGCCAGGTCCCCTGGAGAGCCAGCCATATTTAGTAAAGGTGCCAGGGGGCCTCGCTGGGAAACTTAATAAAAAATGTAAAAATGGATTTCTTCAGTGCCCTCGTTCAAAGCTTGTGTATCACATGAGAAAACCATTGCAAAATGAGACCCAGAAGCATCAGCTGTGGCTTAACTATACTATATTGCTATGAAAACTTACGTCTTTGCCTTTATATGCTCTGAAGGCTTTTCAATGTCTTTGGCTTCCTAGAAGTAATCATTTTCAGTTCTATGTTAACACCACAGAAATCTGCAAGAATGCAGTATCAGGTACACAAATCATTTCCATATGTGGTCAAGTGTTTTCTTGCTTACTTCTCACGCGCAAAACATCCTGCCGTGAAAGCCAATGTGACACAGAGAGGAATATATATTTATTGCAAAACCCTTGCATTATGCACAGTCTCATCTACACACACACACACACACACACACATACACATACGCACTCAAATTATATAAAGAGCTGTGTATTCCAGCCCCTTTGACCTTCAGAACAGAGTATTAATATGTCTCTTCTGGACCTTATGGTGAACTGGAGCGAACCAAAAATCTTTCTATAATTTTCTTGTGCGTGAGCAGGATGATAGCTTTCAGAGAAATGCACAACAGATGAAGCCTGTATGCCAAACACTCTTTTAATTATTATTTCCCGTAATGGAACTGTTCTCATGTTTATGGAGATGGATGCGCATGTGGCCGGCTTGTATTTTCCTAAGCTGTGATAATGTGTGGCCAGTGAGATGGTCGTCTCTGTGGAGACCAGCAGGTCAGCATCACAGTAAACGTCTCCCCTTGTCAGCGATTGCAGACAGAAAGCAGCTGACAACCATCATTAAAACTTATATAGAGCTGTTGCTGTGCGTCTAATGATGTCGGACATCAGTGCTTTTACAGAGTAAGAAGATATCACTTCGTCTTAATCTCAAATGAAAAAAACGTTGCTCTGAATTTAAATGATAAGATGCATGTCTGTATTAGAGGAATGTCTGTCTTTAGATTAATTTACAGTAGCTACAGATGCTCAGCTATTCGTCTGACTCCATATAAAAAAAACTTATCTTTTTGGAGACAAAACTGAGGTATTAGATTTCTCTGTTCATCCTGCGGTTTTTCAAGTGTGGCGAGGAGAGATAAAGGGAATCTTAACAGTGAAGAAGGAGGCCCCTGCAGTCATACAAAGCTGCGTTAATGGCTTTGACTGACTGCAGGGGCCCCTGCTGAATTAGGTGTTAAGTATTTTTGTGTTTGAGTGACAGCACTGAGCCTTCTGGCAGTTCAAGCTCTTGGTATCTTATCCACCAGCCTGACTGCACATAGCGGTAACTCAGAGGATTCCCAGACGCTGCTCCTCTTCTCAAGTTCTCTCCACGGTGACACGACACTTAACATGCCACAAAACTCAAACACCACGCGGCATCCTGCGGGAAGAACAATTGCCAGACTTTTTTTTGTTAACGGTTAAGATTCCCTCTTTTCATAAAACTTGAATAAATTGCAAATGAACATTTGCTAAGTACCGCCCCCCTCAGTTACTGTTGTTATGCTGGTAAAGCTCTCTATTCTCACACGGCACATAACGCATGTGAGAATCTTTTCATTTTCAAAACAATTGATCCTGCAGCACAATACACGTATCTTTTTTTACGTACTGTGTAACCCCACTGAGTAATGTCGATGATGTGCCCCTTTTGCAATAGAAGTAATGCTCCATTATTACTTTAGATAGGATGCTAGTTAGCTGGACATGCGAACAATTGAAGCTTATTTTAGTCAGTAAACACACCTTTTAAGGCATTCCTTGCACACTCTTGCTTTTCCGGTTTTTGAAAGGGTAACAAAAAGGTCACCACCCTCCCAAACCTAAAGTGCTGAGTATCGTTGTTGCTACAGCCCCGTGTGCACCGCTCCAACATGTGGTGTAATCTAAAAACTAAACTCGGCAGGCCTGCCGTACCTACTTAGGGTTGCTGTGCTTTGATTGGATAATCGTTTTTGGGAGGAGTTTAGCAAATAGTCAATTAAATTAAAAACTTGCATCGGCCACAGAAGTGTGCATGTATCATCACCACAGATGCAAAGAAGTCTGTGTGTTAGGGACCTTGCCAATTCCTGCACGTTTTCATCGGTAGCTCTCAGGTGGAGATGAGATGTTGCTGTGGTGAGGGTGTAGAGTAACAGAGTCAAGAGTAACTGGTTTTGGGCTTAACACTTCACAACAGAAACCCACTGCCAGACCTCCCTCACTCTGCCTTTCCACTGGAGAGGCTGTTTCCAGGGGCTAATTGGACTCTGAGTCAGGCCTGCCAGTCCTTGTTTCCTGGTCCCAGTGCTCTGGGCTCCGCGGACACAGATGGGCTGCCTGGAAAAGCTTCAGAGACGTTGAGCACACTGTTGCTGTTGGCCACTGGACCTGGTTGGCTTTTAAAATGCCAGACTTTTGTTGTAAAACATGTTCTCTGCAGTACTCCTTGTCAATCAGCAGCAGGCAGGAATCATCAGGGGTCTAAAATGATATGAAATATGAACATTGAAATCAGGCCAAATTTTATTTTACCAAGGGACACAAGCATTCAAAGTGAGACACATGTGCAGTGTGTGCTGTGTTGACTTTGTGGCCAAATGTATATATTTCTTTTGGGGGTTTGGGGGAGGAGGGTTGCATTGCATCTCTGCTTGAAAGGCTTGATCTGGACCAAATGTTTTATGACTCTTGATGGAACAACACTGTAAAGTTTTGCTGTTGGCTTGAGTTGCCTATTGTTTGTTTGCCAAGTGTTGCCTTTTCACTCCTGCATTACTTTCATTAGTTGAAGGCTTATAGTATGAGCTCTTTTACTCTCACACACACACGAGCACTCTCCTCAGTGTAATTGTTCATGGAAACCATGGGTAGCCACGATTGGTTTTTATTTGGAGACAGGAATGGCAGAGGAACGCTCCAGAGTGGCGCTAAGACATATGGTATTGTTTTCTCCACAACAGAGCCTGCCAGTTCACAGGAACACATGCACATCTGCAGCGAAGCAGCGTGATTAGCTCCCTCTATCTCATCAAGAGAGAGAAGATCAAATCAGCCACCAAAGCATTTATCACATTAATATCACCAGAGAGCTATTGCATGCTCATATCATCTATCAACCCTGTCTGCACTTTCCGTCACCCTCCTCTGTTTGCAACACCTCTTAATTTCCAAACAGCCATTTGTGATTTCCCCGGCTGAGGGTGTTGCCCTGTGAGAATGCAGTGGAGGATTACAGCTCTATGATAATTGATCTCAAACATTTGGCATGCATTTTCCTTTTTACCTCACATATGGCCATAATATGTTAATGCTTACAGGCAGAAAGGGCGAAGAATATACTGTTATAATATACTGGACCGATACTCAGTACCAGCAGATGTTCCTTTATCAAAACAGATGATGGAGAAAAGTGTTATCTTACAATTTAAAAGTGCAGTAGAAAAGCACTTTAAACATGTATGACACACATTTTATATCATTTAAAATACAACAGTTGCTGAAGCAGCATGCCTGCCTGCAAATACCATTACAAACATGACATACATGAGTTTCTACCATTACAAACATGAAAGCATGAGTTTCAGTTCCCATGGTAGCGTATCCAGCTAACTCCTCCTCTACATTCTTTGTTTGATCTCAGCTGCCAAGTCTGAGAAATTCCTCTCAAGTCAAGGTAATATCCAGTTTTCATGTATTTCAACTTCCGAACACATTACAAGGTCCATCAAGACAGTTTCTGGCAATAACGGCAATGGATTGTTTAATAAGAGATGAGCTATATTTTCATATAGTAAGGCTATGCTTTACTTGGCAGGAGGCTGCTGCTTGCAGCTCGGGAACACTACATAGACACGAGAGCTTCGCTGCATCACTGATTGGTCTCAACATGTATCCAACATAAAGATCTTATAGATGTTTTTCTAGAAATTGCTAATATGAGAATAAACAAAATAGATTAATTGGAGCATGCTGTGCTCTAGTTTAACTTCAAATCAAACAGATTTTTATGATTGCAACAGTTTTCTTCAAATGTAATACAGCTTTTTTCTCTTTTTTTTTTTGCTTTATGTGAATGCATTAGCAACAAAAGTAACAGTACTGAGTGACAGCTTATGTAAATAGTATGCAGTATAATATGTTTATATTTATATATTCTATTTAAGACCATGACTGAAATTGCTCTTTGCTTTCCAGCACTTTAAGTCATTTGGTCCATCAACTGGGCATGCAGAGGGGGGAGCGAGAGAGGAAGAAGGAGAGGGAGAGTTTGTTAAGGCCCAGAATGGGTCCCTCACTTCCCCATTTCAAATTCCTGAGGTTTCAGAGCTCTGGAAGGCCTGGAGCTAATTTGGCTTTCAGGCTTTCCCCTCTAATTCTTTGCGACTAATTACAGTCGTATTCCCGCAATTAAACTGATAAACTCTGCTGAACTTGGCAGGGTAAACGAAGAAACCCCGGCCCCTCCTCGCCGGCTCAGGGCACCACTTCTCTCCTCTTTGCCATCTTTCTCCGTGCTCCTACTCATCATGGTAAACGCACTAAAAATAAAAATCAACATGAATTCTTCGATAGAGTCTGTCTCCTCAGCCTCAGTATTTATCGCCGCTGGTGACAATGCCAGGAACACCGAGAGGAGCGTCCAGAGGTCAGACAGATGTTGCACATGAAGGGATTTGAATAGTTATGTCTGAAATACCTAAACACCCCAGAGGGATGTTATTCTATTATCATTAAAGCATGATTGCAATTTAGGGATAACTTCATAACATCATCACGAACAAGTGGCCGTTCGTATTCCTCTTGGATTAAAATGGATTTAATATTTGAATTGGGCCTGCCAGCAGTGTCTCAGCTCACGCATACAGATAGGATACCTTGGGAGAAAGAAAACAAGCATGGAAATAAAATGAGGTAGGCTGTCTAGACCGAGTGCTTGGACTCATTTGGTTGTTCGGTAGGTTTTCAGCACATGTGAATGTTTATCTCTCTGAAATGAAGCATATGGGCTGAGCTCCATTAAGTGCCAAAGGGGTGGTCCCTCCTAAATACAGTTTTCTCTGTCAAACTCAAATCAGCACGTCTTTGCCCGCCATATAGTTGAGACTTCTCCCTGATTTTTGTGTTTTTTTTGTGACTGTTTATAGAATTTACAGCTGGATCCACAACATTAACAACCGATAGTATCACTGTAGTACCTAGCGAGCCTAAAGAATTAGGGTTAGGGCAGTAAAAAGGTATTCAGTAAGTTAATGTCCTCTGGAAAAAGTCTGAATGTCTTCATAATATGTTTTTATAAAAGTGGCTTAACCACCAGGAGCACCAGCATGTGGCTTCACCATGTTTGTGTAAGTGACCACCTACTGTCCTGCTGTCTTTGTCAAGTGTTTTTTGCGTCTTCTGCATCAGCCCTCGTGGCCATGTTGAAGCATACACATTTGTGATGACGCACTGCAACGCAACACGCTGTATAAACACTGGAAACCAGACACCTTATTGTGTAGGGGAACATGTGTAAAAATACGCTGAGCATATTTGTAGAAGCTTTGAAATAACGGTTGGGATGGAGTGTGAAGGATAGGTTTTTACCAATGTTTAGAGAGCAGGTTTAATTTTGGAAAGGCTGAGCTCTTCTTTTCAGTCTGCCTGCAGGTTCTTCATTTTACATTGTGTAAAGCAAGGATGAGTGTAGTGGAGATGACTTTTATGTGCATATAGTTCTGGTAGAAATAGACACTCTTGAAAAGTTGCACTCAAAATATTTGATCTTTCTTTCTGTGAAGGCAGACTACTATTCTTCCCTCTCTAATATTTTTTTTTCCTTTAGCAGATAACTGAAGTTGAATAGACAGAAGAAAACATTCAGTTATCCCTTCTGCAGTTCAGCGTTCACTATCACATTGCAAAGAACTGAGATAAGAGCTTATCACAGCTTCCCTTTGTCCTCTAACACTCCTGCCTTTTCTCCTCCTCCAGGTATCAGAGGGCTCAGAGGTCCACTTTCAGCCGGGAAACTTCTCCCTTTCCTGCCAGATCCAGAAGGAGACCTTTCCCCACGGCAATGAGCACCTCCTCAGCTGGGCCCAGAAGAAGTACAGGGCAGTCACCTCTTTCTCTGAGCTCAGGATGACTCAAGACATCTACATCAAAGTCGGAGAAGGTATGTGCTAGAGCCCCAAAATTCCCAAACATAGCTCTAGGCCCCAAGGCACACCTCCCCATTCCCCTTCAGCTCCCACAACTTTACTTAGCTTTTGTGTTTGAGCCCTGGCTAGAGGTTTACATGCACTACTCTGGTGAAAGAATTTCCTTCCCTCAACAGGCATTTAGCCTTTCACACTATTGAACAGGCTATCTGTGGTAATTCTGAGTTGTGGCTGCTTATGGCCTTAAGAATAAAGAAAGTGCACTGATCATGTATTTGACTGAATTACAATAAATTTAAGGTTGTTTCACTCAGTACACAGTGATTACATATTTTTGATGTAGAAACAAATTCTCTGTTTTTGGCCTCATGATCTCTTTATTAGAGCTGAAACAATTAGTTAATTCATTGTGGATTTGTCATGAATACGACAGAAGAGCAACTGTCCGTCTCTTTACAGTGCAGCCAAACAAACACTTCTTTCAATAAAGACATTCAATAATTGTCCTACTTCCATCATGCCATGAGCAACAGTAATCTGATGACTCTGTCTTGATGTATAGAAGCTTTTTGGGGGCAAATAAATTGCATTTCCTGTCACTGCTTTTGCATGAAAAACCATCCTGGGTTTCACCATTTGCACAACAATAGGAAATGTTAGGTTTGTATTAGCAATCACTTAAGGCAGCTCTGATGCAGCTGTAGGAGAGTGAAACAGTGAGGTAGGATTACTGACAGTAAACTACAGCATAGAAAGGTAGTAACAGAAAATAAATACACTGAATGGCCATTTAAAAAAAAATCTGAGTATAAATGGCAACAAAAACTGGGTTTGATTTCATGAAAACCATAAAGTGAAACTTAAATACTTTGGAAAGAGGAGATTTAGACACCAACAGTATCTTACAAGTGGATTAAAATCCTGAGAAACATCCATCATTTGTTTCTTTGCAAAGTCATTGTTACTCATTTAGTTTCTGAATTGGTTTTGTAAATTGTAATAATGAAATAACAACAACAGCATGTTTTCCTGTGGAGGGAATACATAGTAAGTTGACCAGATGTCAGTGGGGAAAAAAAAAGCTGAGCTAAGCAGGAGATAAATCATGCCTTTCCAGTTTTTCCAGTGATAAGGAAGGATGAGCAGTCTGCTGTGAAGAATCACCAGGGTGATTCTCAGGAGAGGCTATGATTGATCTTCACGTATGTTCGAGTCTTGGACTTCTCAAATCTTTATTCTCCACTGGCTGGTCCACACAGTGAACAGACAGCATGTCCAGCTACACAGTACGTCAGCTCTCAGACGGGACATGTTTTTAATGAGCATCTTTCACTACATGGAAATAAAGCAAAGCTCATGTCTGGAGAGACATAATGGCTCCACTACTCCTGGTGATAAGTTCTCTCTTTATGTTATTGGTTGCTGTGGAGAGCAGAGCGGTTGCTCAGCCTTCAAGCGTTTGGCTTGTGTCATTAAGGGGCTGTGGTTTGGCAAGAGCCCAGGGTGCCATGATGTTTACTTCAAGCAAAGAGCTGTAGATTTCCACTCCTTCACATCTTCAGTAGTGTTTCATGAAGATGGACAGATTCTCACTTTGCTTCCTACCCAGGGCTGTACTCCAGGTCTCCCCTCAGCTCTTTAAAAGTGCCACAAGAGTTCCGGAGAGGAAGGTGCCAACCTTCAGTTTACACTTTGTCCAAGGCTCTGTTTGCCAAATAAGGAAGCATCTGTCTTGTGTTTTCTTCGTGCGCTAAGAAGGAGCTTAACTTTTCATGCTCTGAAAGTATTTTCTTAGCTGTTAACGAATTTTTGAACAGTCGTGAAAGCTGAGGAAAAAACACTAGAAGATTTGATTAAATGTGTATATGAATATTATTATCCTGTTATTGTGGAGGTATTCTGGTAAAATATCAGGATTAGTTTTCCCACGTATAATGAGAAGAGAAATTTCCCTGTTGATAGCTTGACAGGAAGATGGGTCATGCCAACCAGAGCACCTCGTCCAAGAAAGGAAGAAAAGGCTTGTCCTTGTTAGCAGTGCATTTTGGACGAGAGACAATGGGAATACCAGCTGCGGGGTTGCAGGGAAGCTGTTCTTCAGCTGGAATGGCTGGGTCAAAGCAAACATCCCCCCTACTGAAGTCTCTGTGAGCAGGACACTGAAATCCTCTCAGAAGCAGGGGGTGCTGGTCTGCGGCTGACCTCGGACTCTGACACCTCTGCGGTGGAGTGGCCATATTTCTCCTTTGGGAGATCAAAATAGCCTCACAGTCCAACCAGTAATGCAAACATCTTTCTACTTTCAGATCCAGTGTTTTCTGACACCTGCAAGATTGATACCAAGTTCCTGTCTCTGAACTACCTGGGCGGTTACGTGGAGCCACAGACATCAAAGGGTTGTGTCCTGTCAGGACCTGACAAAGACCAAGAGGTGCACATCATTGAGCTCCAGGCCCCAAACTCCAGCAGGTGAGCAGCCAAAGCAGCCGAAGCCAAGAATACATGTTGTCATAGTTTATTTTTGAGGTCAAAATGCTCTCACTAATCTCAGTGGAGTTTGTTTTGGATGGGAACTAACATGAAGACGGGGGGGGGGGGGGGTTACTTTTCACTTAGTCGTGTTCTTTTGAGAAAGATATTTCAAAACTGGGTCTATAAGTACAGGTTGCCAGATAATCTTCTCACTCCCCCAGTGGAGTGATTATTCTGTTCACCCAAAAGACCACAAATCTGGGAATGTGTTGGTAGCTGTGCTGTATCTCACTCTAGTACTATCTGGTCTGTAGTGCATATGTCTGCTTTTTTTCTGGGAATGCATCCAGCTTTTTAATTAGTTGGCCAGACACAGAAGGCACGATAACACAATGTCGACCCAACCATCCAAAATTCTTCTTTTTCTTTCTCTCTCTGTCGTTTTCTGCAGTGCTTTCCAGGTGGACGTCATCGTGGATCTACGGCCTCTGGAGGACGATGCCCCCCTGCATCGCGACGTTGTCTTGCTGCTCAAGTGCGCTAAGTCTGTCAACTGGGTCATCAAGGCCCACCGTGTGATTGGCAAGCTGGAAGTAGTGGTAAGCTGGCAGCAACACAACACATGAAAGCTTTCCATCCAGAGATGTCTTTTTTTTTTTCTTTTTCTTTTTTTTTTTTTGCCTTTACAGACTTCACCGCTGTGATTTGATAAAGTCTTATCACACATCACAGTAGCTTACAAGGCATGTCACAGACAGAAATGTCATCACTTTGCACCGCTGACCCAAAGAATTTGTTACACCGGAATGTGTGTTGAATTGGCGCCTGGTCCCTGCTGCACGAGAGGGTGGGGATAACAGGTTAGGAGGAACTGTGAAATTTCATCACGACAGCTCCAGGGATTGTCATCGCATTCAGACAGCCAGGGGCAGGAGCGGTGGGGGCATCACATATTTTCAGAGCCACGGCCACTGCAGCGCTTTAGCTGCGCAGAAAGTCTGACTTGCGCCCCATCAGTCACAATGTGAATTATGAGCAGCGCTTGCCTCAGGCCCTTTGTTAAGCTGCGAGCTGTTAGGACCTCCTCACCACCCACGAAAGATAAACCCTCGTTAATTACTACAATATATCATAGCACCCTTTACTTAGAAAAATGGTTTCGTACATATCAGCGCTGAGCATGAGTATACAGTTTTGATATTAAATCTTCATTACTGTAACTCAGGTCTCTCAGGACCCTCAGGAACTATAAGAATATGACACCTATGTACACTTTGGAAGAATAGTTTAACTGTAGATCATGTTGATAGGCAACTGGCAGTTGTCCAACCACCATAATTGCTCCAGGGTTGGAATTTTAAACCCTGTTTCTGGAACAAAAAAAATAAAAAATCAGTGTAGTAAAAATGGAAAGAAACCAATATTGTATATTTCCCAAAGCATTTCATATGTGCAGAGTCAGGTGACATTTGGTATTTACCCTGGCTGACTCATGCTGCCAACCTCGTTTTCTGTTGTCTTGTGTGTTACCCCTCGGCTCTGTTGGCCCTGTGCTGGTTTCAGTGGACGTGCGCAGGAGCTTCTGTGTTTCCTCAGAGTGTAATGCTGATACTCCTGCAGGGCGACCGTAGCCATGACACAGCGCTTTTGCCAGGCGCGGTGTGTTTGTACAGCTGCTCGGTCACTGCTTTACAGTAAGTCGGTCAGGTTGTGTGAGTGACCTGGGAAACTTAAAGAGCAGCACAAATGGATGGCAAAGCCTCTGATGGAGGTGCACAGCAGAAACTGTGTATGTTTCCTTATACCCACTTAACACTTGGACCTTATACAACAACGTAGAAGCTCTCGTTAGGAATTTAGATCATTTTTTATATTTAAATTGTTAATGTATTAGCTTACATACAGCAGAAACTTGCGCATTAGGCGTGCAGCTAACAATTATTTTCCTTCCTGATTAATCTATTGATTATTTCTTCAATTAATCTATTGTCATAGAATGAAGAAGTTGCCAAAGCTAAAGGTGAGGTCTGCTAGAGGCATGGCTCCAAGGATGCCACTGTTGGTCAGTCTATCAGTCCAGAGTGAAATGTGTCGACAACTATTGAATGGATTGCCATGAAATTTTGTACAGGCATTCATGTCTTTCTGAGGAGGACTTGCAATCACGTTGTGATCCTCTGACTTTTCAGTTAACGCCACCAGCAGGTCGACATTTCTTTTATTATCCCATAATTTAGTTTTTATATCAACTATGATCACATCCTCATCAGCCTCAGCTGTACACTGTGGCAAATGTTAGCATGCTAACATGTTAAACTAAAATGGTGAACATGTAAAGATTATACCTGCTAGACATCAGCATCTTAATATTGTCATTGTGTCCATATTATTATTATTATCATTATTATGGACAGTAATGCTTAGCAACATGGTGAGAGGAATGTCAATAACAGGCACAAACACATTTAGAAACACAGTAAATTGTTTTAATGCTACAAACTTAACTACCCACTTACAACTATGTTTGTGTTATTCTGTAATAATGTGCAATATTCCTCATTCAGAAATTTTCCAGAAATGTCCACAAGGTATTAAAATAAAACTGAAGGATGGTCAGTCTAAACACAAGAACATTTAGTAGTTACAAACCACGCTATGACTTTTACTTGACAACAATAGTACACAGGATGCTGTGATTGTGCAACCAATGTTTGGGGAGGGTTAACAATTCATGTCATATGATAGCCTCATAAAAGTGAGGCCTCACTTCTGTCAGAAACTGGGTTTTCCTCAGCTTTTGCTCAAGAGAGTTGAAAGTGTGGGAAATGGCTGTGAGAGGGAGTCGGTCTTCCCTCACACAGGGAGGGTATACAGCAGGGCAGGACACATTTTAAGAGCAAACTAACGTTGGTTTCTCAGCATTGATCGAGCTGTGACACGCCCATTACCTCACACTTATACACATGATTCACACTTGACACTTGAATAAGTGCAGGACAGGACTTGAACTTGAATATCTGTGATAATTCCTGAACAGTAAATCATGCCTTTTGTGTCTTTTAAAGGAATTGACTTGTAAATGTATGGTCTTTTAGAAGCAACTCTTTCTTTTTGATAAAAACATACACTAAGACAAATTACTTTCTTGTCCACAGGCCTCTGATACTGTGAGTGTTAGCTCAAATACAGAGAGACTGATGCAAGTGTCCAAAACCCCCAAGCAGCACTTACCATCAGGATCACAAGCCTTGATCAAGTGGGCAGAAGAGCAAGGCTACAGTCCAGTGACCTCTTACACCAGCACTCCTGTGGCTAACCACTTCAATATCCGACTCAGAGAGCCAGGTAAATGCAAGAATTTTCTGCTTAGTTTAGATAATACTTGAGCAGAAATAGTTTGTTCACTTGGTTAAATACAAGTTTAAATACAATGTGTTACACCTATATTTCAGCAGCTGCTCCTATTTTGTTTGTGACTAATATTGCACATTTCACGAGCGTGAAATTGAGAAATGGTTTATAGTCGTCGTTCAGTGTAATTTCCCTGCCTGTAAAATCAGCCTCATGAGGCTCTAACCATGTGTGACTTCCAGATGTGGTGGATCCTCTGGAGAGCATGTTCCCTCCAGAGCTCTCCATCCTGCGTGACTCCAATCCTCACCTAAGGGCAGGAACTGCTTCACGGCGCCCAGGACTGCCCTTCCCTTTCCACCCGCCCATGTCTGACGGCCTGCCGTACCTGACGCTACATTCCTCTGTCGATGACCGGCCCTGGGAGAACGGAGAGCCCGAGGAGCAGCAGGGCGTTCTGAGTGTTGGCCTCAGTGTGCAGTGTGAGGAAACAAAGATGGTGGTCAGCATCGACAAAGAGAGTCTGCAAGTGAGTGGACAGCATGATGTTATCCATATTAGATCCTGCCTCAAAGCATATACAGCTACAACTAACGATTATTTTTAGATGATGATGATTAATAGTTTTATTTAGTTCAATTCTGTCATAAAACAACACAAAAGACACAGATTCAATTCAGATTGGAAGATGGACAAAATTATAAATTGCACGAGAGGGGCGCTTCGATAGCGCCGACCTCCGCCAAGGTCAGTGTCGAACAACATACACCAGACTTCACAGAAAAATATCGAATTCATGGTAAATAATCCTGATCTGCCCCAAAATTGAATGGGTTCTACCCAGGCCCATGCCCTATCTGTCCACCAAGCTCAGTTCAGTACTCTTGCATAATCCACTTGACAAATAAACAGACATGGGTGAAAACATAATAACATAATTAATTTTCTATTGAAGTGAAACTAAGGAGCAAGCACATCTGAGCATATGTAAAGCTCTAGCCAGGTGTTTATAGGTATCTTGTTAAAAATAAGTTATAATCAAATTAAATTAATGTATTTGCTGTCAATCAGTTAATCAATTAAAGAATAAATTCTTACAGCACAGAAACAGACAGTTCAGGGATGCACCCTCCGGTTAAAAAGACAGACAGACAGATGACTCAAATACAGGGTTTCCTCCTATTTGATGCTTGATAATACTCGTTTCCTTAGTCTGAACAGCAAAAAAGAAAAACAAATTCAATCTTTTGTTTCCAAACCAGACTTAATCCAGCGTGGATTGGAGTCGCACATCTGAAAAATTTTCTCAGTCTGATCAATCACGTTGCCACGTTCGTTTCTGCAAGTTCTCTCATGCGACACAGACGAGATGTGACAAACTGTGACAAAAAGACCAGAAAACAACAAACACAGAGGACAACCCAAGAGAATACCAGTGTCTAGACCAATTAAGAGGCTGAATAAATGTCGTCTGCACGGTGATTGGATAATGCCAAATATAAACCTGCATGCTGTGAGGTTGTTGTTATCTGAAAAGTATCGCAATGCGTGCAGGCATCTGTAATATTACTACAATGGTGATAGCGAATGAAGACACTGTCTCAACACACAGATCTGATGGTCACTTGTAGGTTAATGGAAATAAGTATACTAAAAAATGCTGCCATTGTGCTGTTGTTTTTGCCAGTGTCCCTGGTATACACTGGCTGACATTGAAGGGAGCAGGACTGTTCCCAACATTTGGCATCTGTACACAGGGACAGCTCAGTCAGCCCACATCACAGAATGGAAACTGGCATGGACTGTAATTAGGAGAAGCTGGGGCTGGAACTAGACCACCTTGTGGGATTTGTTTATTCCTGGGAACTTGAAGTCTCACACAACCGCTTTTTTTGACTGTTCTAAAAATCAGTTAATAAAGGAAACTTTTTTATCTTTATCCAATGTTGCCATTTTTTGATGTTTCCTCAGGCGAACGGGTTTATTCATGCCAACCTCACGCTCCAAGACCCAGAATGCAAAGCAACAGTGAATGCCACCCACTACACACTGGAAACTCCTCTGACTGGCTGTCAGACCACCATATATTCCATGCAGGGTACGGGTACGGCCTTCTACATCAACTCTGTGAGTATAATACCTGTTATTACGTTGTAGTTTAAAACAAGTCAGACCAATAGACTCCTCCTTGGTTATGATATAAATACAAAGAATGTGTTTTTAAAGTCAAACTTCGTAGGATGTGAATTTTAGCTTTCGACTGACCATGTTCATTCTGATGAAATAAAAATAGTTAGTAATACCAACAGCCACACAGGCAGCCAACCAGCTGGGAAAGCGTGTGTTGTTTGCTGTCCCGTCTATGATATGAGCAAAGATGACTCCATGTCTCTATAAGTTACGTGACTTAAATCACAGGGTAACGCACTGAGTGCTAAGGTTAGCAGACTACCTGTTCATGGGAGTTTCGACACTCTGGTCAATTGTCATCACTGCATCTGGACCATGAAAGAGAGACAGCCAACGCTAGCTTTAGACCCCCTCCATTGTACAATATGGGATAAACATACATGACTCAGTAGGTATTAGAATAACTTGAAGGCTAACTGGGTTAACCATTTTCCAATTGGAATTTCACAAAGAAAATGGAAGCTAGTTAGTCTAGTCTAATACATCTTGTATTAATGTTCGTAGGCTATACAGGGCTCCGATGTTCTCCAGTCTGTATCTCACCGCAGGAGTTAACAGTGTATCTTCATCAAATCAGTCAGTCAGCTGTTGCAACAGGAAATGCCCAATCAGAAGCTTGACATTAAGTCCCTGTTTCCGCAAATATGCCCAAAGACTGGAGTTATTTCTTGCCCATTTCATGCCTTTATTTGACAGTGATGCTGAAGATAGAGAAAGTAGGGGAGTGACATAATGTAGTAAATCGGCCAGGACTTGACCCAGGGACTTGCCGTTCAGGGCTTTTTACGCCCATATGGTATGCGCCCTAAACACATGGCTATTGCGCCACGCCTGTTTTATCCTGTTTTGCGGATGAATGAAAAATGAAAAAAATATCCTATTTTGCTGCAGTGTCGTGTTTTATATGTTCTTACACAAAAAGTGAAAGAGTAAGAAATTTCTTTTTATCTTTAAGATAGTTTTTCATTTAAAGGTAAACACTCACATCTGACATCCCCAGTCATCTTCATTATTGTAGAATACATTCATTCAGCATGTTTGTTCTAACAAGTAGGGATGAATCACTTCCTACCCGACCTTTTGAAACTCTTTTGTGGGTGGGGGGTTTGGAACGACACATATTCTGTCCAATGCAGATTGAAAACCGGGGCACATGTCCAAGGTCATCCTTTGTGTTAGTGCTTGGATGCAGGAATAACCTCTGATCTCTGGTCAAAAGAGATTAATTTTCATTGTCCACGTCCCCAAACATCAAAGATAATCTGTTTTGGCTGCCATTTCTCCTGTTGATTTAATTTAGCAGTGGCACCAACAGAAGGTCTGCAAACATTTGGTGCAGACTTTTAAAAAAAAAAACACTGCAAGTGTCATTGAAACTTTCCTCTGACCTCATGAGATCAGAATTTTCTTAAAGCTGCATGTACTCATCTCAGACTCTGACATGCCTCTGCTCTACTGAGAAATTAAAAATATGTTTTCTGTTTTTGTCCAGTGTGAGTCCCACTGCTAAGGCCACAGGACATTCCCACATTTTAAATCCAACTCATTGGTCATAGAATGTTTTGGCGACTCCTCTCAAAGAATCAAATCTCTGCCTGAATTAAACAACACTACTTGCAACTGTGATTTGTTAAAAAAAAAAAAAAAAATCTGGAAAAGACTTTTTCCTTTCACTTCCTAACTCACGTGGCTCAGGTTTTGTGACTAACAGACTCCTCTCTGCATCACAGGTCTTGATAAGTCATGCTGAGACTAAGGATGGGAGTGGCGGGCCGGTGGATTATGAGGATCTGGAATCCGGAGACGTGCTGTTCCCGAAGGACCCAGTGGAGTTAGAGAGGACGTTTACAGAGCCCACAGAGCACCAGTCTGTCATAGTGGTAAGACAGTGGACTTATTGTGGTTTCTCTGTGAGAGCTGCACTTTATCGCAGGGTGAAAGTTGACCATTGACCACTGATCACCTAAATCTTTATGTAAATCATTCAAAATTGGAAGTAACTCTGTTTCCCAGAGTCCCTTGGTGCCAGTAAAGACTCATCTGGCTCCTGAAATCTCACCGTCTTTCCATGATGTCTGCTTCATGAACTTGACCTGACATTTTCCATTTTGAAGTTTCCCCATCTTCTTCTCTCTACTGACTTATTTTTCCTTTGTCTCATCCATTCCTAGTCTCCCACTTATTGATCTTGTTTATACAGTATCTCTTAGGTTCCTGCCCTATTTTCTGCTCCATCTTGATGCGGTCAAACATTAAGACACAGTCATGTAGGGTTAGGGTGCTTAGCAATGGAATCTGATGTCAGATCCCTGCTGATATTTGTGTTGGCTTTCTCTCATTCCCCTCCTAGTTCAATTGCACGTACAGAAAGAACCAGGAAACCTCAGAAACACTTCCCAGGATTGTACCGGGACCAGCCAGGCAGCCGGTCAACAACATGACGTTCAGTATGGAGCTGTACAAAACGCTGCCGTCCAGCAACCCCTCACGCCAGGCCTTCCACACTGTTTCACAAAATCAACAAGTCTTTGTGGAGGTGCGCTTTCCATTTCTAATATATTAATTGTTATTTCAGTGTCATGTGTGGTCTGTAGATTAATGCAGTGTTGTCTTATGCAAGTTGTGTTTTTGTCTCTAAATTGAGACTTTCATAAAAGCAGAGAAAACTAAGCTGTGTGTACTCTGTCTGGGATTTTAGCTCTTCCTGCTTTGATCTCTTGGTGTGGCATCCGCAAGGTCAATTTGTATTTTGTCTGGTTGGGGCTAAAAAGCTAACACTCACTTTCACCTCTCACATTCATTGTATCTCCCTTCTATGTGTCTGTCTGACTCAAAATCCTTGTTTCGCAACAGTAATTATTGAGGCCATGTAAGGGATGGCAAAGCCTTGCACTCTGAGTTTCCTTTGAAGAGATGATTTATGATGATATCAGCAGGAGATGCTTCGATGACAGTGTGGACGCAGAGCCAGCAGGTTACAAAGAGTGTTCTGTGTATGAGGCTTTGGCCTAAGCCTTTCCTCAGAACTCACACTGTGCTGAGACCTGACCTGAGGCTATGGCCAAAAGGTGCAGAGGTGCACTTTGATGCTCATAGAGCAGCTTTTTGTCCGTTCAAAACATACCTCTTACCAGTTGTGCACGTGATATATTGTCGTGTAATCAAATTTACATTCTGTTATACATTATAAGCCTTAATTTGTGTTATTTAAATACTTTTATGCATCTGTGTCTGTTTTTCACTCTGGCCAAGACCTGTCTCCTGAGGATACCACTGACAATCCAAAAGAAAAAGAAGGAAAGGAAAAAGTAGGAAGGAGAAGGAATAATAACTCAGGGGACTGTCTTGTGGTTATGGGTGGAAAGATGTTACTACCATCCTAACTGGGACTGAAATACTACTTGAAGAAATTTGTTTGAGTTTCTGTCTTGTGTCAATATCAAGGCGGTGGTCCTCGCTGTGGTTTCCAGACACTCATAGTCGCAGCTAAATTTTGACAAATGGTTCAGGGATGAATATGAAGTCTTTCCTTTAGTTGATGGCTGAATTAAACAGTTATCATTTTACTTTTTGGGGTTCATTCCTGACTTTATATTTTCCTGCCCAATCCCAATTTGTAGTATAAACAAACTGCATACAGATACAGAGGAACATTAGCATCCATATCGAATTTGTGTGTGTTTAGTCCATTATTAACTCTCTCTATAGTTAGTTTTAGTTTTGTTCCCCCCAACTCCTTAGACAAATATCTGGCTCTTTAGCAAGTAAAAGCTCCACTGCGTTAGCCAGTCGCTAACTTTGTCTGTCTGTACAGGTACAATACAGTTTTTTGTCTGTTTGTTTTGTTTGGTTGTTTTTTTTCTGCTGATTTAAAGCCGTAACGATGACAAGAAGATGCTACAAACTCTTTGTAGAACTGAGGGGAACTCCGTTTGATCAACCCCTTTTTGTTTACATGAAAATATCGACTAGGAACATTTACGCATTTTGAGTAATTAGCTTATTCGCTTTCTCGCTGAGAATTACAAGAGGAGACAGATGCCACTCTCATGCGGTGAAGCTAAACCCAGGAGGTGGCTAGCTTAGCTTAGCTTAGCTTAGCATAAAGACTCGTAGCAGGCAAGGGTAAACAGTTAGCCTGGTTCTGTCCAAAGGATTAAAATTGAAAATTTATATTTTATATTCTCTGGTTTCATGACGGCGCCTCATAGTTGTGCTTGAATTTGACAGAATACCGTTTGAGTATCCAGCACGCTGTCTGCCCATGACATAAAGGCTACAGCAGACATCTCTCATTACTTACACTGATACTGACCTTACACTGATACTCTGGCAGCCTGCCAGCTACTGTCCATCAAGGAGCACACAGACCTCTTTCCTTCCTTTTAATTATTAATTATACATTTAAAAGACATGATGACAGATGTGATTTCAGTCAAAAACAACAAGTTGTGGTTTTATGTGGTTTATTTGCCAGACTACTTCTTGGCCAGGAGCAGTGACTTCCTGGAGTCTTGTTGACCTGCTGGTTCCCCCTGCTTCAAGTATTTATACCAAGCTGAGCTTACTGTCTCCTGGCTATAGCTTCATTTTTATATACAGATGTGCGAGCATTGTGTCATCTAACTCTAATACAACTAATTAACTAACTAATTACAATATGGCGATTTATTCTTTTAAAGACTTTTTCCACTGATCATTACTGTGTTGACTTAGGGTCAAAGGCCTGGGTTTATGAATAGATGATGATGAAATGGGTGTAAAATGGAAATTTGTGTTAACTGAAGTATAAGAGCAGTATAAATGAATGTGGTGTAAAAAGATGATTTCAGTCTTACTTCCACAAAGAGGCCTGTCTTGACAAATGACAAACAATATTTGAAGAATAAATGTTTTTCTTCTCTCTCCTGTGCTTCAGGTCACATCAACCGCATCAGATCCAGATCTGGGGTTCACCATCATATCATGCTTCATTTCTCCGAACTCCAACCCCAACGTGGCCTCAAACTACACTCTCATTGAGACAGTCTGCCCCATGGATGACTCTGTCTTCCCTGTCCCTCACACACAGATTGATAGGAAAAGTTTCAGCTTCAACTTCAGCTCAAAGTTTAACATGTCCCTGCTTTTCCTGCACTGTGAGATGACTCTGTGCACCAAGAAATCTCACATCAACCACAGACTACCGCCGGTATGCAGTGTAATCTTCTCCAAATTACCTTTAGTCTTTTGCATGTTTAATGATTTTACTGTACAAGCCACCAGGGTTGTTATAGTCTCTCCAGAGCCATATAGTATTAACAGAGTTTGTTTGAGAACTCAGTGTTGTAGTGAAGCACCTTTACTCTGGCTGAGCAGCGTCAAGTCTGCACCCAAAGCTAGGCAGGAAACATGGGTCGTTGGAAGGTTTGCCAAGTATCAAGCTGCAGAACAAAATAAGCATCCGTCTTAGCCATCATTTTCTTTTTTCACTTACTCTGGTATCTATCCAACTCATACAGACTCTTGCGAGCTCTTTTTTTTTTTACCTCTTTTCACCTGAAAAAAATAGTGATGGAGTAGTGGCCTGAGGCTGAATTGTGATTGTGAAGCTAATAGTTATGCGCTGATAATAATCAGAATCAGGTTGAGGCTAATGAAATAGTAATTTGTTTAATTTCCAAGTTGATACTTTTGGTCAGGTATGACAGAAGGAATTTACTTGAGGTTGAAAAATGTAAATGCTTAATTTTGCTTTTACAAAAAACCCTTTTTGGTAGAAAATTGCAGAGGATAAAATGCCTTTCATGAAGTAACGTTTGTTTTCTGTTCTTAATTCTCTCATTTTTTCATCTTTTGTCCACATAGTGCTTACAGCCCAGCGAGTCCTGTGATTCTCTTAATGCGGACAACATCGTCATGATGATGATGAACAAAAAGACGTCTACTATGCCGCTGGTTGTGGTGGACAACTTTGTTATACCAGACTTGACAGGTCAGTGAGAGGAAAAGAAAACACATTTTACACCCACTTAGACCTTATGCCATGAGCAGAGTTGTGTTTTGAGATTTGATTTCCACAAGTGTGAGTATGGACAGTGTGATAAGAAACCGGGAGTAAAGAAAGAAAGAAGCTGGTGTGAGGGCGAGGGAGCCAGGGAAAGCTCAGTCTGATTCTTGGAGATTACATCAAACCACAAAACACTGCACATCACTTCCCCACATCTGGTCATCATTAAGTGTGGCGTGTGTGTGTGTGTGTGTTGTGTTATTGTGTACGCAGGTGCGTGTGTATGCACATTTGGTGTGTGCGTACCCGTGTCTGTTTACATTAAACATCTGTACACAAGTGCGCGGCGCGCGTGTGTGTGTGTGTCTGTGTGTACGTACATACAAGCATGTGGTTGCCGGCAGTAAAGAGGAGTGTGCTCACACTGAGGCCCAGTTCGGTTGCGCTGGACCAGTCCACGCTGAGGTGGAAAAAGAAGAGTCATACAGCATCGAGCTCCAGTTGTTTTCACTTAGGACCTTCACTGTGGCCTCCCCTTTCCACTAGAGAAGGGGGAGAAGGGAGGAGTGTGTGTGTGTGTGAGAGAGTATGTGTGTGTGTGAGGGGAGTGGTGGTCCTCTCATTGGCTTTGGGAATCCAGCCAGAGTGTAAAGGCCCTCAATCATGACTTGGTTAGTCACACACATTCACTTTCTGTATCTCTGGGGCTGTAGTGTGATCAGGGGGAGGGAGCAGCATGCAGGGAGGGCCTGAGGTCACCATCATAACACGTCACTAATTATGACCTAAACTAAGATGGGGGTGATATCATGAGTGCCCAAATCTCTAGTGGACTGCCAGAGTTTTTCAAATGAGGATCCCCTCTGAGCAATGACACCAGCAGGAGAGCTGTGGTCATTTTGAGTCAACTTTATGGACTCATGAGTTTGAAATCACGTCATTTTAATCAGCGTGAGCTCGAGCCCGAGCGATATATATATCAGCATGGCCGATTCTCGCTTATTGTATCGGTGTAAGAGGCAGCTGATACATAACATGACATTGCTGCAGAGAGTCATTTCAAAGCGCTGACATGCAGTGGAGGCTCCGGGATTTTAGAAATGGGGTGACCAAGGGTAATTAGATTTTTTCTACCAGCTTCACTATGTCCATACCAAGATGGTATAAGAACAACAACAGCCATCCTGCAAGGAGGCAGAAGCCAATGATGAGGCAGAATTTTTGCAGTCTTTTGCATCTTGGGTAGCCAACTCAATTCGACTGTATCTGCCCATGCTGACGATTGTATTTTTGGTCAATAAAATATCTTAACTTAACTGGAAACAATTTTGATAAGAGATGAATTGTTGAAATAATTTGAATTTCAAAAATACCAAAGTTTTCTGGTTCCACTTAAACGTGAATATCTTCCTTCAGCCATGGACTCGCTGCTCAGAGCATTATTTTGTGTTGGCCACAACTCTTTAACCAAGCTCAAAGGGATTTGACCAAAATGATCATATATGTTGTGTTTTTAATTTTTAGATTCTTGTAACTCTGAAATATTGATATTGGTAACATCCTCAAAAATCTGATATCAGTCGAGCTCTAGTGCGTAGAGTAGTCAGGGTTGAAGAGAAAACATAAGTGGGTGTGTTTATTACATTTTAACTGGACATCGGGTTTCACTGCTGGGCAGAGATACCTTATGGATGCAGTCACTTTTTGGCACAGCAGCGCCAGTGTTAGTGTTGGAGAAGTTATTGGTGAAGATATTAGTGAACAGAGACCATAAAATCTGCAGTAATGAGTAAATGAGTGAGCTAACCTAGTTCAGTAAGCAGCAGGATGCGCTGCCACACCACTGTGCCACTGCAGCGGGTTTATTTTACATGGAGGAGATTAAGTAAACACAGATATGCAATAACCATAGTGAAAAAAACTCAATTTCAAAGTGTTTTCTAAAACAAAGGCATCACTTATGCTCAGATGGCAAACAAAACAAGCAGCCTTTTCAAGGGCCACAGTTCTGCCCTGGACAGCATCCCAAAGAGCTGAACTTGATCTACAAATCAAAGAGGACCACTTGTGGCCAACTTGGTGCATGGAAAAACATAACAGCCTCAAAGCCCGGCCATCAAAAGTAGATTTACTGCTTCGAAACATCAATAAATTTTATCCCTCTTTTATGGATCTGGTAACATTCAGGAAAAGTTGAACAGTATCGTTTATTTGAGAGGTTGGCAGTGCAGATCGTTACACCGGTACAAGTGGTATTGCTTTAGTCTAAGTCTGCAGAGAGTAAAGGAGGAAGAAAACCTTTTAATATCAGGGTTATTGTATTTAAAATATTGTGCAGGCTGAAACTGCAGCATATAAAATATACTCTGTAAGTGAATGTGTTGACCCTTCAGATTGCTTATCCTTCTAAGTAGCTGATTTCTGTGATAAATATCTATGATGATGCATCACCTTAAAACCTGCACAATGAGGTCTTTTTGTCCTCTCCACATGAGCTGCTGTTTTCATTGGCTGCGTATCGCGTAGCTTCCTTTATCATTAAAATTCCCATAAAACTCAAAAACATCACATTAAAACTCAACGGAAAAGGATGTTTCGAGTTATACATGAGTGAAGATTCATGCCTCAGCTGATTGTGGCCATTAAATAAATGTGTTATAATTTATAGTTTATAAATATATAAATATTATAATATATTCTTATCTTCTTTTTTTTCATCGTCTAAACTGAGCAGAAAGATGTTTGAGTCCTGTGTAAGTAAAAACACTGTATATTATCTGTAGTACAGTATGTGGTGCTCGTGGCTTCATGGAGCTGAGCTGGTTGCACTAACAAGCTTTGAGTGACATAAGTGGATTCTGCTCTCCATGATGAGAGGTCAGAGTTGAACAAAACACAAGTCATTCCCCATAGCAAGCCAACTTACATAAACGAATGACATTCATACAGATATCTGTGCTGCTCCAACTCTGGCAACAGCTTAAAAGCTGCAAACACAAGTCATCAGTTTAACCTCTAGAGCTCTGTCTGGTTCTGTTAAAGTAGGGAACATAAGTCAAGACCTGACAGACGCCCAGAAGAGTATTGTTCCCCATAGGCATCCAGGCGTTATTTGAAAAGGTATATTGAGTTTTCAGCTTGATAATCATGGACGTTCTTAAAGTAGAGTCATATAAAAAAAGAAATTACAAGTTTTTAGTTTAGTGTGCTTTTCCTCTCTCTTCTGCTTCTGGAGCAGAAATCATTACTGGCCACTCTCTCTACTCTCTAGCATAACAAGCCACACTGGACAGATAACGCTGGAGCAGAGGGATGGGGGGGGGTGGAGGTTGGCAGAGAGGACGTCCTCTGGCTATCGTCCCCTCTGAAATTAAAGTCTTCTCTGATGACCTGTCATCATCCATTATGCAAGATGAAAACTCAGAGGTGTTCTTTCCAAGAATAGCACCCATTGTGCCGGAGTCTTGGACACGTACCAGGCTTGCCTCTTGAGTTCGCCCGTACACAAGCGCCTTTGTATTTTTAGTTAAGACATCATTAAACAGCTAATTTCACTTTTGAAAGCTTTCCAGATGGCTTGAAATAAATGGGTGAGCAGAACTAGTCGGTGTCAGAAGGTTCATCCTTTAGGACAGAAGAGCTGCTCCCTCAGTGTTTTCCTGCTTCAGGTTCCTGTATTACATTCCACAGAGAACTGCTTATCAACACAGTTCAATAACAGACACATATTGATCCTCTGGCCTGTGACTGACAGGCTAACTCAGAGCATGCATTGTGTTATTTTTTGATGAATTAAAATATACAAAACTGTAAACTGTGCATCAGTATACATGATGGTTAACATACATTACATTTTTATTTCTATTTTGCAGTTATTCCTCCGCATGAAACACCAGAACCCACAGAGGATCCTCCTAATTACGGTACGTTGTCTTACTGAAGTGTCATACTGTATTATTCTCTTTATTTGTATTTTACTCTTATCTTCTTCTTTATACTGTATGTCCATTTATGTATGTGAATATTATGGAGCTCCACTGTGCTCAGTGTTCAATAAATAAACAAGAGAGCATCTTGCAAAGGCGCCTCACAGCTGCAACTGTCAACAGGTTGACGTTCTAACAGCAGCTAAATCACTTAATTTGGGAGCAGTTGTTGTGCTTGCTAGCTCAAGAGCAGCAGTGGCCATGTTATTCGGCTAAAGGCGAAAAGGAAGTAACTGGTGACAACTCCAACTTTTATAAAAGTGACATTATGAAATGTTTTTATGCTATGAAATGCTTTTAAAAATGACATCAAAGTAAAAATCTCAATTTCCTGTCATTTCTCTTCTATTGTTTATCTACTAACCCAAACCCCAAAAGACTCATAAAGATTATTATAAAAATAAGAATAACAGAATATTTCACAATGAGTTCAGTTTTAATAATATCTTTAATTATTGTTAATTTATATATTTTACACAATTAATTCATGTTATTCTTTATTAAATGATGTCTTATTTATTTATGTAACAATGAAAACTTATGGGCTCCATACAATTGGTGTTATGGTTTTAAATATGTCCAAGCTGTCATGTCAACATATATGAATTGTGTGCTGTTTTTTTTTTTACCCCCTCAGGGACAATGTACGTGCTGGACACTCCAACAGTGGTGGGGATCGCCTTTGCGGCCTTTGTGATTGGGGCTCTGTTGACTGGAGCCCTGTGGTTTATCTACTCTCACACAGGTAGGTCCTTAACCTGCTGCTCCACGGCCCCAGCTCACCTTTCTACATTAATGAAAAGATAAAATCCAAAGGAATGTTCGAGCGGTGTCAGTGCCAGAAAATGTGCTGCTGGGATTGCCAAACATCCTGCTGCTGACAGAGGCCAGTTCACAATAACATATTGACTCCTCTACTGCAAATATATCCTGTTGGTCAGCAGCAAGAGCTCTTCTCTTTCCTGCCTTTGAATGTTTCGGGGGCTGCGGGGTGGTCAGCGAATATTCTCAGTACAATGGCTGGAGACGAGTTGGAAATTCCCCTTGTTGGGTGTAGCGGGCGCTCAGAGGAAAAGACACACAATCTGTCCATTAGATGCCAAGACTTTCCCCATCTTCCCCATGCTGCTGACCCAGGCCGACCCCTGAGAGGAAGTGTGCTCCCAGCAGCCCACTGAGTTCACCGCTGCATAGAGCTGCCCTGTTCTCCTTGGCCTTGATGACTGGTGATCCGCTATGCCACTGACCTGCTGCCCCGCGGCTCATGTGTTCTCCGTGGACGTCTTTCATAAACGTGGTCAGGATGTTTGATCTTAGAAGTTGAGTCTTTCAGAAAATCCAACAATGTGAGTGTTTTAGTTTATGCTAAGTTTACAGTTTGGAAGGAGGTCACAGTTTGACAGTGTCAGATAGTTGGAGTAGTAAATCGTTCTCCCTGATAGCGGTGAATTTAGCAGCGATAAGGACACTTGTCAAAACAGTTACAGTATTACACACTGTTTAAAACTCAGTCATACTCAGTCACACTGAAAAGTGTTCACTGAACACAATTTCATTTAGCAGGAAAGACCAGCTGTCAGATTTTAGTGCCCTTATCTGTATCACAATATTGCTATTGGCTCCTCTTTAGAGAGTCACTTTATTTAAGAGTTATGGGTTTCTTGGAGTCACCAGTAATGAAAAACTGCTCAATGTTCCAAATACATTAGATGTCAAAAGTGAACATGTGTAGGGAGAAGGTGGAAGGATAGTAGTTATAAAAAAAATAAAGAAAGAACACATAGCCTAGACTCTTTAATACAGACACATGTTCCTGTTGACATTATTTGAATAGGCCTTAGTGTAGAGGAACTCTGGATGAGTCTGTTTAGCTATCTCCACTGAAATGACCTTATATGGCAACACTGGCAGCTCCACGTAAACCCCAAGAATGTAGATCCCCAAAACAGTCACCAAAAATATCAGTTCAGAGTATATTTAAATCAGTGTTTAGAGTGATGAAACAGGAAAACAGAATTGGGTGTATCCCCTCAGGGTCTGAGGACAATGTTCCTGGCCTTTCCAGAAACACTTTTCCCCTTTTTTTTTTTTTTTTTTTTCTTTTCAAAGTTAGTCATTGGAATTATATTTGGAGTTTTCTGACCTTTACAGATTAATTCCATATAAGGCAATTAGAGGCATAAAGGCTTTAAAAAGCACCCCACAACATATTATTTGACATTTTGCTCGTTATCTTGGCACATACAATAGGTCTGCATTCTGCCAACGCTATAGTCACCTCTGCCAAGAGATCTACTCTCCTTCTCTGCTCAATTGGTGAAATAACATATGAATAAAAAGGTTGAATCACCCACAAGGGGAGAAATTTCACACTTTATCTACTCTGAAATCCAAACATATGCTGCAAGATTAGAAAATAATAGGGATCACACACTACACAATAGGAAGACAAACTATCTTGACAGAGAAAACAATGCCAGCTTCCTTTTTTAGCCACCAGAGTCTCTGGGGATGCTACCACTTTGGTGCATATCTCAACAACTATTAGATGGACTGACTTCTAATTGTGCACAGACAGTCATGGTACTCAGGATGAATCCTAATAACTGTGGTGATCCCATGACTTTTCCTCGAGTGCCAACATGAGGTTTAAATTTGTAGTTGTGAGTGAAATTCTTTGACGGATGATTTGCTATGAAATTTTCTTAACAAATTTATTTATTTATTTATTTCATTTATATATTAATTTAAATCCATTTACTTCTAATCTAGCGCCATCATCATGTCAAGATTTTACTGTGTCCAATGCTTTGGTTTATGACCAACACCTGCAATAATGACATTCCCATGAGCCTCAGCTGTGCTTTATATTCAGTGCTAACTCGCAAATGTTAGCATGCTAAAAGGTTGAACTAAGATAATGATCAGGGTAAACATGGAAAACATAATACAGCACCTGCTAAACATCAGCATGTTAGCATGCTAACATTAGCATGTAGCTCAAGTACAGCCCCACAGCGCTGATAGCATACTGCTCTGTAATCTCTTTTGGAGTTGCAACATCTTTTGTCCATGCAGATATATTTCTTGTAAGACAGGTTAGTTTTGGCACTTTTCTCCGAGTCTCTACATCATTGGAGCGATCCATCATGCTTGTAGGAGATTAGTGGTCCACAGAAAACTTTGTATTTCTCCACTTTCTTAGATTAAAAAATACCTGGAGTCAGCTGAGACTGAAAACTGTGATTAGCCGGACGGATGGCTGAGACTGAGACAAGTTTCTGTATTAGTGAGTTTCAGAAATGTCATGGCCTTCAAAGGAGTTTTGTATTTTCTATTCTTGGATACTTTGTCCATTACTTACATTGTAAGTTTAAAGTGTTGCTTGCACTGTTGTCCAAGAGACACTGAGATTGTGCTTATATGCATTTGTTATTCTCTGTTCAGAGTTTGAGGCAAATTGTCTCTGAGTCAGACATCTGTTACCACAACTGGACACAGTATGCGCACTATGTTCCTGTGACATAAAAGCAGCCTTTATCTCTACTATCTAGAAAGATAATATTAAACTTGGGAATATATATTTCCTCAGACAGATGAGGTGAATTGAAGTCCCTTTGTTTTGTAGAGATTTTGATCCTGTGAGAGAGAGCGGCTGCTGGCAGCTCTGCTCTGGTAAACATTAGCAGAACTGAGGGGCCCCAGAGAGGGAGCGGGATGCAGGAACGCCTGTGGACACATAGGCTTATCATATATGCAAGCACTCATACATGTACACACTAGATTCAGCACACACTAAACTATCAACAGAAAATCTTTGTCTAAGATAGTTTAATTTTAGTGTGTGTTCTCCATTTTTCTGAGACAGCAGAATGAATTGAGCCAAAAACTCAAATTAAACATAGACTGGGCCTTATTTTAAAAGCTGTCCATTATCAATCAGAGACGTTTTCATAAACAAATGTAAGCACTATTATTTGCCCTTTAAAGCGTTGGATCCTGAGAGTCTGCGAAATGACATGCTTATTTAGACCTAGAACAATAAACCAGTCAGCGGTTTTGAGCTCCAGTCAGAGGGCCCTGTGTCGTGTTTGTTCTGCTTTATCTGCTAAAGCCAGACTAATTGATTCCAGATAAAAGAAATGAATTCCATGAACGAGATACCTCCTCATCTCTTTTTGTCTACAATATCATCTGTCAAAGATGTTGTGACTGGTTGTTTTGGGCTAATCTGAGGCTTTCTTTCAGAGCCGGACAGTTGAAAACAGATTATGCTTTCAGATGATAAAAGTCGGGGCAGATGCAGTCCAGAGTTCTTCATGTACACTTTTGCACATTTGCCATGTGCTTTTACTTGAGTAACAATGAATCCATCTACGTAGGGCTGTAGTAAAGGATACAATATTTTTATTTTAACTGCAGTCCAAGGTTTCTGTCGAGTACTGACAGTCATAGTAAACAGTAGAAGACGAACAGTATTTTTTTCCTTTACAATAGAAGAGAACAGACGAACAATGGAGGCTCCAGAGAATTAGGGTCCAATTTGTAGCTTCACCCAAATCGATTTGTCATATTCCAGCTGACCTCTCCTCCTGGCTTTTTCTAATACATATACATTTTTTTCTATCTCCCTTTGGTCCAATCTCCTCCCTCTCCCTCTCCCTCTCCCTCTCCCTCTCCTGCTCCATGTCTAGGTGAGACAGCTGGCACCCAGCGGGTCCAGAATTCTCAACCCGCCTCTGAGAACAGCAGCGCGGCCCACAGTATCGGCAGCACACAGAGCACGCCCTGCTCCAGCAGCAGCACGGCGTAGCCCAGGACACACATTGGCGGGACACACAAGCCCGGCTGTGGCACAGGAAGGGCCTGGCGGGTTCACAGGGACCGGTTTGTTGATTTCCTTCCATGAAAGGAATTATTTTTGGGCATGCGATAGGAAGGAAAAAAAATCTGAATTTAAAAAAGAAGAAAAAACACAATAACACCCTTAGTTCTTGTGTAAGTCCCTTTGTGCCACTTCAAGTGTGTGTGCAGACAAGTATACTGTCCTGGTGTTATTGGTGTGTAACAGTTCTGAGACCCAACTTGGCAGCCGCACCTCATATCTAGTACAAAAAAGTACAAGAAACAAATGTGAGTTTATACCAGGCATTTCTTTCTAATCCAAATGCTGCTTTTTTTCTGATGACAACAGAGCCTTTTGTTTTGACCTTAAATGGTTTGATTTTCGGCTGTTTCGAACAAGCAGGTGAACAGCGGTGATGTCAGTATTTGTAAGTGAGATGTCGACGGCTGGGCTGTTACACGTTACTTTAGGACATGTAACCATTAAGGTGGCAAAGGAGCAAAGCAACCACTATTAACAAGCGGACAAAAGTGCAGTATGAACAGAAGTCATCATCTTGACCCAAAGAGAGATCATGGCTTTTAAAAGATGCGAGACAGTGTAGGTATTGAATGTATACAGAAGAGTAAACGCCAAAAAATGTGAAAGAAAAATGTGAAAGACATGCTGATAAAATTCCACATTTGATAATGTACTAATTTCACTCATTCTTCCCTCATAATGGATTTATAGACACAGGCAGGTAAAACATATTTTACCAGTGCTTTCTATACACACTTTATAGAAATGCATTTCAGTAGATGGGGGTCTGAGTTTCAATTTCATAGATACATAACTTCACAGGGGCATTATGGGTTCCCTTTTATTAGTTGTTGTTATGGAATAGGTCGACATTTTGGGAAATGCGATGATTTTTTTTTTTATCCAACAGAAGATCGATACCTCTCTCCTGTTTTTGCGTTAGTTACGTAGCTCAATACAGGGGGTGATTAGCCTAGCTTAGCATGAAGATTGCAAGCAAAGGGAAAACAGAGATAGTTCAACATTTTTAAGAAAAATATACAGAATGAAAAAACACTGTAAAACTCCTAATTGTCATTTTAAATATCTGCCTGTGCCAAGTTGAAGAAACATCTTAGTTAGTTAGTTAGTTAGTTAGTTAGTTAGTTAGTTAGTTAGTTAGTTAGTTCGTTAGTTAGTTAGTGAGCTTTAGATGTACTGCTCACTAAGTGTATTTTATTTTGCATGGCCAGGCTAGCTCGTTTTTTATGCTAAGGTAAGTTTATAAAACCTAAAAAATACACCTGCCAACACCACTGAAAGGCATTAATTCACACACGTCTGTTGAACCTGCACGCAAACTGAAAAGTAAAAACATCATTGTGGTGTTTCAGGGGATGTTTCGTACAGTTGTTTTTCTTGAAAACGCTAAGCTAGGCTAACCCCCTCCCGGCTCCAGCGCCATACTTAACACACAGACATGAGAGTGGGTTTGATCTTCTCATAATCATCTTTCCTAAAACTATTCGTTTAAGATGTGTATATTTTTGTAAATATTGTAAATACTCCAAAATGTCATGAGGCAGAGCGTGGAAATTTATGTTTTTGTACTTCTACCATGTCATATTTTAAAAGTTACAAAATACACACTAATGTGTTTAATGACAAAATCAACAGGGTGTTATTTCAAGACACAAATTTCTAATCATGTCTTAGCATAGTTGACGTAGTTTAGGTCCCACTGTCTGTCAGACAGAGCACAAGAAAGAGTACTTTTGTTATTTTATAAAGCCAATTGTACAGTGAATTGAATTTCCTTGTCACGGTTTGTAGAAATCTTGGCACTGACAGTGTGTCAAATAAGCTGTAGCTCAAGCTCCGTGTTATGGACATACATATTCAGGTGTTCCTCAAACTGCGACACCACGTCTACCCCCACCGTCTCCGAATAATATGAATGTTTGCTCCCGTGCCTTCCTTTTATTAACCTGTATGTGTTTTCTATCAGACTGTGTGTGGGACTAACTGGGAAATTCGAGAAAGGAGGTTTCCCTGTAACGATTTAACCAAGTCTCTGGTGAAGAGTAACAAGAAAAAACAGAATGTATGTTATCTCAAAGCTTTTTATTTTCTTTTCATTTCATATGTAAACATGTATAAAACTTTCTACAGAGGGAACAGAGTATAAATATATATATTTGTGTATAAAATTATATTTTGGAATATATTTACCGAGAGAAAATTTATCTTCTATGTGTGTAAGACTGTGAATTGTGGATGTGCTCATACATAACACACGTTTGTTGGGGATTGGTTTATATTATTCATAAAAGCCTCATGGCATGTTTTATGACACTTGACCAATGAAAATTTGTATTACAAAAATTATTAAGCCCCTTTCTTTTTAAATAACACTTTGAGTTTGTTTTATTCACTAATAAAAGTGAAAAGTTACAATTTCCTCACAAAATTTGAAAATATGTACGCCAAAACAAAAAATTCTAGTTTTATATGTCAGTTTTTTATTAAATAATGAGTCATAAAACATGTTATGAGTTTGTAATGAATACCACATTTAAATACTTTTCAAACAAAGCAGATTATTTCTTCTGTACATGGAAGAAATACGTCCAAAACTCCTGTGTTTTGTTTAAACGTTACTATAGTTTCGATCGAATCTTTTATTTTCCCACTTGGCAATGATGACTCATTACTGAAGCTGTTGCATATTAATACTACTTTGTATGAATTGTGTGTTTACTAAAATATTTTCATATGACGGAAATAAATTTATATGTTAAATTTATATATTTGAATCAGTATCTTAAATTTGAGTTTCATATCTTTGAAGATAAGCTGTAACGATGACTATTAAACTTTGTTTTTTATCATGATATTAGTTAGATTCAGTTGTTGCCACAGAACAAAACCCAGATCCCCAATGTGTTTTGTTCCTCCTATTGCCATGAGCAATGACAGTTGTCCCCTTAAAATGAAAAAAGAAATGACTTCAATGCTAAACCACTAATGGCAGCGGTTAAACCAAATTTGAAATAAAGTGGAATAAATATTAAATGTGCAAACATTCAGTTAAAATGAAGAAAATCCAACATTTTCTTAGTTTGTTTCTGGAAACTCAACTGGTTTCACATGAGAAGTCCTTTTTTAAATTACATTAGATCCGCTTGGGTTTTGGGGCAACATTAGAACTTGTTTAAAGCCAGCAGTGTCTCAGTTAACTCAGCTACACAGTAAATACACAGCAATGATATGTTGTGCACTGTTATTGTGAACAACAACACTGTATCCCTCTGTACTGAATACAGAGCAGACTCAGAGAGCAATCCATGTCTTACAGAGTGGTAATATAATCAGCGGTCATTGTGGGATTAAGGCTCTCTGACATTCCTGCAGTTTTGTGGTTTCTGTTATCGACCGTGGCAAATCCATCTCCCCATATGTAATTACCCTACCACCCCCCCACCTCCCCACCCCACCCCACCCGCTCCAACCCCCTCCACCATGCTGTTAACCAGCTGAGCCTCAAATTATGTTCTGGATCTATAATCTTCTCGTTTTGAGATCATTTGGAGATATTCTCTCACTCAAGCTAATGATACAATTCAGGGTTGCTGCTCAAATATCAAGATTCCTCCTCCTCCGTTACTCCAGTGCATGCTGGGAAAACCTCCAGCCACTTTCCCCCTCATTGCCACCAATAAGCACAAGCAGGTATATGCTATCAATATGAAATAATGATGCTGTATCACACAAAGGCGTATTGTTACAATAAGTGTGCTGAAGTACCAGAGCTCCACTGTATAAATCTGCAAACAGCTGTAATTGGAGCACAAATCCATATAACTAGTTATTGATTGTATTTTTTTTAACCATTTGACTACCTCATGTTTTTCTATGAATGTGTCATTTGTGTGTTTGTATGTGTGCGAGTGTTTTCTGTGCCTATGTTTGAGCTAAAGAAAAGTTTAAAAGCTTATGGATTACACTGCGGTTTTATCATTCGGGGGCCCCTTATGTGGTTTAACTGCAGCTCACGTTTAATTTTTCAGTCTCAAAAACAAACAATGAAGAGTTTGCTGTTTCCCATGATGACAAGATTGCCCTTTGAGGGCGTTGTAAATGTGTAAAACTTTATTGTTTCCTTTGGATTTTGAAACTTTTTATACGCTGTAAATATGCATGAAATTTGTATACCCATTATGTTCAATAAATTTTCATTACAATTCACATGATTGTTGTCCGTAGTTTTCCTCTGCCATTTTGGGAGTTTTCACACCAGGCGGCTCCAGATGTGGGAGGGTGCAGTGTGAACATCCCCTGTATGGATTTTGTTTAGAACAATGAGCTGTAATAATGATGTGTCAGGCTTGGCTCTGTTGCGGTGAAGTCATGGCTCGTCTGTGGTGAGCTCATAAATGATACAGACCATGTGGACCTCTGGCTGGAGGTTTTCGGTGGGGGGAGACCACAGAGATGAGTGTATCGCAGTCCTCACCTCTTCCCCCTCCCCACCGACATCTTTGCTTTTGATTAGAGCTCCCTGGAGACGGCTGCGAGCGGCGTGCCTCGGAGTAGATTGGAAAGCTCTGTGATTATAGAGCGAGAGAAAGAGGCCAAGGGCGAAACGGTAAAGCAGCCTCTTGATATGCCAGCTCAGGTTTGGGTTGACTGGTCCACATGTCCCAAATCCTTCTGACCCCTTTATGGCCTGTGTGGTGTCATATCTGTATCTTTTTGTTTTCCCTGAATGCCCCTCACAGAGCCATCCTCGTGCAGCGAGGCTCTCGTCCAACTCATGACTAATTTATTGAATTCACAAACAAATGCTTATCCAGGTCATCCAGCTGTAGATCATGATGTAAATATTTTCATTTCTAACCCCCCCCCCCTTAAGGGTACCTGGAACACAAACTTGTTGTTCTGCAGCTAATCCATTTAGTCACTGATTGCATATACCCCAGACAATGGTGCATGATAAATACAGGCTCAAATAGAAAGAGGCTTTCTGTTCTCCAAACACTGACGCTGGGGAGAGCTGGACTAATTTAGACCAGACCTTTGGACCTAAACATGATTACTTCAATTAAGTTAAATAAGATGCTCTGGAACTTTTTTGGCTGGTTCACAGCATCAGAGGGGGAATGAGACCACATTAACAGGCTGTGTATACCAACCCTCACAGCCTCTCTCCCTGTCCCATGGCAAGTAAATATAATATAGCTGGAAGAATGCAGCTGTAAATGTAATTAACAAAACTTTTGCAGCATCACAAGAAAGCAAATCCTCCTATTGAGGTTATGATGTCAGTGAAAAATACAACTGTAGTGTAGCAACTGCTTCAGCTCTGCTGCGTCGTCACACCTATCATACAGTATTTTATGTACCTGCCGTGGTGATTATAAAAGGAAAGCAATAAAAAAACAACAATGCTACAGTGCTGCAGCCTGTCAGCCTCTGCAGAGGGCTTAAGTTTCCCATTAATTGTTTGTTCATATGAGTGCAAGCACAAAAATAAATTCTATTGTAATGCAATTTAACGAGTGCTTGAATTTTAAAATTGAATCTATGCACAAGCTGAAAGCACAACATCTGATATAGCACTTTATTGAGTTGTGAAGCAGGCAAAGACTATTTTGGGCACCCTTGATTCTGGAAGTAAAAGGCCCATTCATTTCCTCCGCGCTCGACGTAAGGTGACTCACAGCTGGAGCACTTCCATGGCTGGGGTGGATGTTAAAGTCTCCTGGATGAAGCATCAGAACATAAGGTGAACAATTACTCTAAAAATATCTGGTATCTGGAAGAAGAAGAAAAAAAGGGTGAAAGGTACGAGCCTGTGTACATGAAAACAAATGTGAGGGGGAGAATGTAACTACAATTCCCAAGACGCATTTTGGGAAGAAATATCCAATAGAGTGCTGCAGAAATGAGTACTAACATTTTAGCACTTTCATCCCGAAGTCTATGGGTTTTTCGTTAGATGCCTGAAGGTCTGTGTTTAACACAAGCTCAAGACTTTTTGCCATTTTATACTACGACATAAAATAACGTCAAATACGTCAGTAAATACCCCAGTTGTGACTTCTTTAGGCTTTTATGTGTCTTAAAAAGGCCGGTTGCTAACAAGTGGCTAAATGAGGCTACAGGGTTTTTCGGGGACGTCATCGTACTTAACACAAAAACCGATCTACTCACCAGTCCACCTTTACAGCCTCGATCTGTTTATACTTGTACTTGCAAACTGTTGCTAACCTTCTACGAGACTTTCATAGAAAGAGTAAGAGCTCTGCTACAACTACAAGTGGTGACGCTGAAGTCATGCAACCGCGGTGTAGTTCGTTTACAGCCTAACATTGGCTTTTTACTTCTTGTGATTGTATTTAGGCTTCAAAAATCATATTAAGTGGGGGTTCATTTGTGAGAATTATCTTGCTGAACAAAGTATGTCAATATCATAAACTTTTGTTTGTCACAGAACTTATTTTCTGCAGTAGTCCAAAACCCAATGTAAAGGTCCCATTGGCTTTTTGTCAGTGGAACCAGGGTGATGGTGTTTTATGCAGCAACAGCTCATGGGTATTGTAGTCTTGTGGTTGAGAACACTGAAAGATTGTAAATGGGAATGTAGAAAAGGAAAAAGCTCAGAGCTGAAAGAAGCTAAGAAGCTCCATGTAGCTGAGGGGAATGTAAGGCCGGTGTGATAAATCTACCTTTGTCATTCATCGTAGCCATTTGAGCCATTGTTAATATAAAATATACCAATTAGTGGTGCTTTAATAATATCAGTGGCTACTCAGTAACATGAGGATTCCCACCATTTGATTCTGATCAGTAATCTAACTATGTAAAATCTGTGCAGCCACACCACTCTCTTGAGCTCTGCTGAGATATTCCTGAAATTTGAGTTTCAACAAGTCGAACACATTGAGCAATAAAAGTGCTTATCTGGTCCAGTTGGCATTCTTTTCCTGTTGGGGGAGTTCTCTTTCAGCTATGCTGAAACCGTAGCCCCTGTCTGAGGTATGCTAACTTTAGCCGCATCACACACAGCTGGTTCCTATGCTGCACAAAAATATAACTACGCTACGTTTCATATTGCTGCCAGAATCCATAAACCAGTCTCATTTTGCTGAATCGCAAACTCTGTTTTGATTGTGGCACATGGGCACTGCATGTGTGTATTTTTTTAGAGATTTGAGGCCCTTGTACTTATTGCTGGAAAACACTAGAGTGTTTCCAGTTGGAAGAAAAGAAAAAAAAGTCCTCTCTAGCCTAAAATTACACTGCTCGTAATGAAAAAGCTCGATCATAACTGGCTTTACACCACAAACATCTCCCAATCAATTAATGTTAACGACTTTTTTTTTCTCTCTGTACCCTTTTTTCTTCATTTCCAAGCAATGGACTTATGCATGCACATGTGCAATATGCATGGCCATACACACACACACACACACACACACACACACACACACACATACACACACAGCAAACAGGCTGTTTCCTCCATGCATAATTTTACTGACTGATTTGCTGCCCAAGCCACAAATCCAAACTGAAAACATAAACAAACTGGAAAAAGTGAGGCAGCACTAACTCTCCTGATTCATATGTCTGCACTGTTTGGACAAAGTGTCTTATTTGAGAAAGCTGTTATCTATATCTGCTTTTTAAATGGAGGCACCAAAACTAAAAATGAAGTCTGACAGCTTGCAGTGATTGCTATTAGACTCATTTGCTACTGATTTTATCTAGATCCACTGTATCCAGATGATACAGTATGCACACCTGGCCACATCCTCCCTCACACAGCAGAAGGCTGATTGCATCGACTCAACAGCCTCCTGTGAAAATAACTTTTTTCTCTTCTGAGCTGGTTGGGAGTTTATGTTTCCGCTGGTGTGGTTGAAGTCGTAACATTTTAGGAGAAGCACAGCGGCACACGTGGCTTGTGCAGACACATCGTTCATTTACACTTGACCAACTTGTGGCCTCAAACCCAAAGCGTCCCAAACCACTTTGGGAGGCGGTTTTTAATACATATAGCAGATAAACAGCTTAGCATCCTGAACCATAATGTGTGTTGGTTGCATTTATTCTTGGCTTTTTATCTCTCTGACAGATCTAAGACGTGACTGTGTAAATGAGCTGATAGATTTGTACATGTTCTGTTTTGAAAAGCATCGATCCATAGACAGAATTTAAACTTCAGCAAGGGTTGAACCATTGTGAGTGACTGTTATTACTCTAAAACTCATAGAGGGAGAGGAACGACCACTGTTTATTTTCAATAGAAGGAACTTTTGCTGCGCTCATTTGGATTTGTGCCAACACAAGCATATCATCTGTGGTGCAGATGACATTCATGCAGCAGACCGAGCCTGCTTGTGTGTTTGCAGCTTCTATGCTTAAAATCACATTTTTATGCCTCTTGGTTTTTCAATCAGCATTTTGATTATACAGAGAATAAACT